TATCCCCAGCCCTACCTCGCTGTGGTTGTCGATGGAGTTGGGGGACACGGCCAGTGGCCCAGGACTGGACGGGCTCTCGGACACGGAGTTGGACCGTGTCTCTCCGCTGTTTTCCTGGGGGGAGGAAGGAGGGAGGGAGCGTGAGGGGGGCGGCTCCAGCCCTGGGGTCTGAGAACAGCCCCCGAAGCTGCAAGTCCCACCCAGGGGACCACAAAATCCATCCTCCCCACACATAATCCCCTGCGAGCTCCAAGCTCATAAATACCTCCAGCGCTGCCCATCCAGGGCAGGGAGGGATTAAACCCTGGCCTGACTGGCCTGGGGAGGAAGAGGAAGGCGGCTGCAAGGCTGGATGCTGCTTCCCTGCAGCTTTATGTGGATGGAGGAGGAAGGGAAGGAGGTAGAAGGGAGGCATTGCAGCCACCTCCGTGACACACAGCCCCACAGGCAATCCCCTACCTGGGGGGCACCAGTTCCTAGACCCCTTCCTGGTGACTCCTGCCCATGTGGCAGCCTGGGAGCACTGTGATCCTTGGTGGCATCACCCACCCATGGGCAGAAGACAGGGGAGACACCTAAACAGGCAGGTTCCCTGCCCAGAGACTGGCATAGATGGGATTAAAAGCAAGATGAGGCTCTTACCTTCTCTATATCGCCATTGGCAACTGGTTCTGGCAAGGGACCTGCAGGGTGAGGACACGGGCACTGAGTGAGGATGCATTTGCTCTGTCCCCTCCTACCTGCCCCGCGGTGCCCAGTGCCCACCCAACACCACCCAGGGCCTGAATTCTTTAACCCACCCCTCACAGCCAGCCCCACAGCACGGGGGGGGGATGCTGCTGGGGACCAGACGTGATGACAGCCATGACATGGAGCCCAGTGAGATCCCCTCCTTCTGCTGGGGACCACTCTGACAGCAGGGAGGTGGCCACAGCTGATCAGAAGCTGTGGAGGAGAGCGAAGGGCAGCTGCTCCCTGCTCACTCCCTGAGCCATAAACCCTGCCAAAGTGCAACCCAGGGCCATAAACCTGCCTTCCCGCAGAGCCCACATCAACCCCACCACCCCAGCTGGTGGGGCCCTCAGCTGGGCAGGGAGACGCCAAAGCTGGGTGACACTGTTTGGCACCAGGGTGATAAGACTGCCACCTCCCAGGGCTCAAAAACTGCCCCAGCACCCTTTGGTTTGGTGACAAGGTGACACAGAGGTAGCACAACCCCCCCCCTCCTCCCTGCAGCACAGCCCCCAGCCCACCTGTGAGGTGCTCCTCCGAGGGAACCACCTTGCACTTCTTGAAGAACTCATCCGTGAGGACGTCCACCACCAGCAGCTTGGTCTCCTCACCGCCTGCCTTGATGGCTGCCACCACATCGGCGTGCTGCTTGCCCTCCATGCACACCCCATTCACCTGTGGGCATGGCACCACGTCACCACCGGGCACAGGGGACATCTGTCCCTCAAGAGGTCCATGGAGGGGCCAGGTACCATCCTTGGTACCAGCCCCAGCACAGCCACCCGACAGCCCCCACAGGTATCCGCAGCCTCACACAGATTAGCGGTGAAGCCAGCAAAACCTCATTAAAAGCAGATTTTCCTTTGAGTGATTAACACGGGATCGTACAGGCAAAGCTGGCAGGGAGTGCCCAGCACAGCATGGACCCGGGGCTGGTGGAGGAGGTGGGCAGCACGGGCAAGGAGAAAAGCCCTCGTGTCATGGCACAGCTCCCAGAGACCCCAAAGCTGCACCCCAAAAGAGGGGGCAGCAAGTTCAGAGCTCAGAAGATCCTTGCCCTCATGGGTCATCACCATCCCTCCTGGCACGAACCCCATCCCCACCCCGGTGACAGGCTTGGGGACACCGTGCACCTTGTCCTCACCCTGCCCCACCCCGGGGACGCTCCTGCTCGGGGCAAGGGGATACAGACAGCGCTACCGCTGCTTAAACCCAGAGCTGGCTAATTAGTGCTCAGCCCCCCCACCGCCCGCACGGCTGCACCCCTGGGTGGGGACCGGCAGGTCGGTGCGGGTCGGGCGGCTGCACCGTGAGTCACCGTGGGGCACCCCGCACCGTCCTGGCAAAGGGTGGCTCCCTCCTGGGCACCGGGATGAGGGGAGACCTCATTGCCCTCTACAACTACCTGAAAGGAGGTTGTAGAGAGGCAGGTGTTGGCCTCTTCTCCCAAAGGACGAATGACAAGACCAGAGGAAATGGTCTGAAGTTGTGGCAAGGGAGGTTTAGATTAGATATTAGAAAGAATTACTTTACTGAGAGAGTGGTCAGGCACTGGAACAGCCTGCCCAGGGAGGTGGTGGAGTCACCATCCCTGGAGGTATTTAAGAAACGTATAGACATGGCTCTTCAGGGCATGCTCTAGTGCCCAAGGTTATTGGTTTATGGCGAGGCGTTGAGTGTGGGGTTTAGTTGGTGGGTGCGGTGTTTTTGGTGGGCATTTGGTGTGGTGTGTGGTGGGTTTTTTTTTGTGGTTGGACTCGACCTCAGAGGTCCCTTCCAACCACTAAGATTCTGTGATTCTGGGATGCGAGGGAGCACTGAGATTTTTGGGGGAAATGTCCCTCCCCTGCCAGCCTGCCAGCAGCCCCACCACCACCCGGCCCTGCCGTACCTCGACGATGCGGTCCTGGGGGGCCAGCCCTGCCGCCTCGGCTGGCGAGTTGGGGTCCACGGCACGAACGAACTGCCCGGGACGGGTCTTGTCACTGTGGAGGTTGAAGCCGTAGCCATTGGGGCCCTTCTTTATGCAGCACAGCCGGGGCCGCAGCTCCTCCTGCAACAGGGACAGCCCATGGGAAAGGTGCTCCTGGATAACACCCCCCCCAACACCCAAAGGACAGGACCAAGACCACCCAACATCTGCTCAGGTGGCAGGGACACCACCCTCCGGTGGCCCCCTGCGCCCACAGACACCTCAAGTTGCAACACAAGGTGCCAAAGTACCCGGTGAACCCCAGGCTCTACTTAATCAATTAGGTGCAGGGCACACTTAATTGCGGCGAAGCATTAAAGAAGCACGTTATTACGTGTGTGTCCAGACCACGCTCTTCTTTTTGGGATTAGGATTGCAACTGCCACGCGAGGGTGGAGGAGGAAACACAACCCCGACTGCTGGGAAGCCCCTCCACCCCTCCCGGGAAGCCTTTGGTACCAGAGAAGATCCAACCACCAGTGCAGGTCCTCTCCATCACCCCCTTGCAAGGTGCAGCCCCCCCCCCATGGCAAACCCAGCCATGGAATTCCCCAGCCCAGATCCCCCCGCAGCTGCTGGTGGCAGGGAATGGGCACACAGGGCTCGGGGAGGCAGCTGGGATCAGGAGGGAACAGCCCTGATGGCAAAGCACACCCCAACGCCCCAGCACGACCCTCCACGGTTGCAAAACAGAAACCAGCTTGACCAAGGAAACGCAACATGGGACGTTCACCTCTCCAGGAGGCAACACCCAGCTCATCTGCGCCTGGTTTCACCCTGACCTGTGGATCCACCAGCACCCAGAGCCAGGGAACCCAACTGGGATGTCCACGGCCCCGCACCCAGCTCCCCACCAGGCCACTAACAGCGCAATTCCCCACAGCACAGCAGCAGGGGAAGCAGGAGCATCCCCAGGAGTTTGGCAAATAGGAGCTGCCTTGGCTCACCCTGTGGGCAGTGGGATGCCCGGGAAGCATCAGAGGAACCAGGTGACACAAACCAGCCACCTACCCACAGTCAGAACCGCTCCGACCCCAACACCACTGCTACATATTTATATATAAAATGGTTTGATCCTGCCTCGACCACCAGCTCCTGGGCTTTGGTAGGGCTCTCCCAGCAGCCAAGCCATGCTTGAGCTCCTGAAATATTCCTCACCGGAGGGTTTAACGTTTATTGTTTCTCCTGAGATTGATTGCTCTCCTTTGGTACCCATAGCATCCCTGCAGGAATTTCCCCTACTGTATCTGCACCGCGCTGCTCGTCACCCCCTCTACAGCACACTCTCCAAAAACACCGTGAAATCCGCTGGGAAAGCCCGGTCCCTGGGGTGCTGGCCCAGGGTGACGCAATGACACTGGCTAAGCCCAATGCTATGATAACACCCCGTCCTCTTGCACAACGCCACCCCCGTGGGGGTCAAGGCCGAGCTGCCGCCCAGGCACCGCTCGCCAACGCCCCGGGGAAGGAGGTGCACGTAAGCACCCAGCTGGGTCTGCCGGGGAGCGAAGGTGAGCCCGGGACACCGCAGCCCTGGCACTCACCCAGGACTACCCCTGGCTCGGCTGGGCAATGCCTGGTGTAACAGCCCAGGGCTGCACCCCGAGGAGCTGGTGGTGTCTCCTCCCCTCCCTGGGTGGAGAACTGCGACACCCCAACTTCACCCCAGCCACCCCTTGCTCCCCCCATGCCAGGGCACTGAGCTGTGGGCTCTGCCCTGGTCCTTGTACCCGGGTGGCAGCAGGTTCTTGGGATGCTCAGGCTGTTGTGACTGCCCCCTCCACCCAGCAGCAAGGGTGGGGACAAGGAAGACCCAAAATAAGGCCAAAAAGCAGGAGCTGGTGGAGCCTGGAGGAAGGCAGCATCTCCCCAAGTCCCTGCCCTTGCCTGGCCCCGGGAAGGGGGTTGGGGCTCTGCGAGCACCCACGCTCCCGGTGCCCTTGGCAGCGCCGTGGCGTCGCTCCACGCCGATAGCTCGGGACAAAGCCGGAGGGAGCACCCGGGAAGCGGAGCTGGCAGCGCTCCCGGGAGAGGAGGAGGGAGGACTTCACTCCCACCCCTACCAACAAAGCCTGGGCAGCCTGGGCTTCCTGAGACACTGGGGCCCTGAATTTAGGGTGGAAGGGGGGGGCGTTGGGAGCCCTGCAGGATGGACAGATGCCTCCGGGCAGGGGGACAATGAGGGAGGCACCAAGACCTACAAAGGCAGGAGGACCCGGTGCGAGGGCAGCCCAGCCGAGCCGTGACCTTGCCCCCCCCAGCATCCCCCTGCCAGCGGCTGGCAGCTCCTCCAGCCCAGCGTGCCAGGCTGCCTTCGCCCTCCCCAAACCCCTCGTGCCAGCAGAAGCCCTGCGGGCAGCCACCCTTCTGTCTCTCCGAGAGACAAATATAAATGCATCTGATCCTCCAGCTGCCGTATCCCACCCTCCACAGGGTGAACACCTCACGACAGGGCATCCCTCCGGCCCCAAAGTCCCCCCTGGCCAGAAGGGACCGAGGTGAGAGGGTTTGGGGTTGGCATCCAGGATGCAGAGATGCCCACGGCTGCGGGGCCATGAGCTGGACAGCAGAACGGAAATGTCCCTAATTTCTCTAAGCTTTTGTGTCCTCTCCTCCAATGCCAGCAGCCCTCCCGCCGTGCCGGGGCACGGATTAACCAGCAGAGCCTCGTTAGGAGCAATTACAACCTCCGGTGGTGGGGAGGGTGGTGGGGGAAGCTGGACTCAGCCCCCAGCATGGGCATCCCGTGCCACCCCTTTCTGCACCTGGGGGGTGGCAGAGGGACATCTCCTGCCTGCAGAGATGCCCACTTGGGATGGGGAGCTCAGCAGCATCACATCCCTATTCCTGCCCTGGAACAGGCACCTCCAGGAGGGTGCTGGACCACCCCTCCCCAGCACCTTTGGCCACCCAGCAGGACCAGTGGTTCCAGGGACACAGGAACCCCAACTGCCTGGTGTGCCAGGACCCGCTCCCCAGCTCCCAGCCCCTCAACAGCAATTTCAGGGCAGCTTTTGAAGCCCCAAATCCCAGGAAACTCCCCGCAGCCCTACAAGCAGCAGCGAGCCTGTTGGCAGCAGCATTCCCAGTTACTCAAAGAGAAAGACAACGGCTCCGAGGACGCCTGGGCCAGCAAATTCACACGGATCCCAAAATCTGGCGCACGCATTCGGGCTTTATACAAAAGGCATGCAAAGCAGCCTCCTCGCAGCATCCCCGTCACGTCCCGTTTGACTGGAGCTGCTTTTCATGCAGCTGCCTTGAGAGGAAATTTAATTCATTTCCTAATTAGACACCAGCTACCCCCAGCACAACGCTTCCAAATGGGGAGGGGGGAGGGAGGGGAGGGATCTGCTCCCTGTTATACCCCAAAAACCCACCCCTGGGAGGCTCACACGGGTTTTAGAAGGAAGGATGAGAATTGTTGGCAAGGGAGGACACCAATTTAGCATTAAATTTGCAAGAGGGAAACCCGGGGCCAGCAGGAAAAGCCTTGCCCTGGTAAAAGCAGCCCGGGTGCCAAGGTGCCGGGCTGGCAGCCGCCGGTGCTGCTCTAACGACGTGCGGTTTGTATGGAACTTTCTCAAGACACTCCCGAGCAGCTGAAGGCTCCGGAAACACAGAGGCAGGGGGAGGACGAGCTGTCAGGGCTCCCAGGCGAGCTTTGGGGACAGTCCCCCATGGCACAGAGCCTCCGGAAGCGGGGCTGGCACCCGGGGTGTAAAACTGTCACCTTGCTGGCTCAGGGCAACAAAAGAGGGGTGCACAGACAAGCTCCCCAGGTGCCTCCAGGGAGGCTCCAAACCTTCACCCCTGCATCGGGGGATTTGCATGCCCAGAGTTTTATAGGAAGGAGAAAGGGGTCCATGATGACCCCCCCAAAAAAAAACCTCCCCAGCCCATGCCCATCCCTGGTAGCCACAGGGGTGTCCGAGCCCCCTGGTACAGGGTGGTCCCAACCGTGTAGGACCCAGCAGGGTTTGGAGAGAGGCTGGATCCTGCTCGAAGGTGGGAGATGCTAAACCCTCGCTGGGCCAGGGGCAGGGTGCGGGTGGCCAGCTCTCCCAGCAGCGAGCGTCTCCAGGCTCGTTAAGCAAATAAAGGCAAGTCCAGCCCGGAAAAGCAAACAGAACTCTGACACATGCAAAACCTCCCACTCCCCACCGCAGCGATCCCAGGTGAATCCCACCAACCCACAGGGTGGGGACGGGGAACAGGGTGACAGGGACCATAAGATCCTTTTCTGCCCGCTCCAGCTTGGCTCGGCATCCCACCCAGCATCTTCCCATTTCACTTGGTGGCATCTAGCTGGTGTAATGTCTCCAAAATTGCTTGCCTTTGCTCTCCTGCCCTGCCCCCAACCGCAAGATTTCCTGCTACCTGTTGAGAAACCGTTGGGGGCCGTGCAACAATGTCACCCCATGTCACCCACATCACCCACTTCCTGCTCCTGTGTAGAGAGAAACCGCCCGTGGTAACTCTGCACGGGCTGCACCTTGAGGCTGCTCCCCAAAATTAAGGGCTATCTCCCTTTGGGGCAGTCCCCCTCCAAGCCCATGGGGCATCTCCAGCTTCCCAGGCTTCTTCCATCGCTCTGGATGGCACAGCCCCTACCAGCAGGCAACCACCCTGGGGTACATCAGGGCCCTTATCACCCCTGGGGACCGCACATCCTCAGCCCCCCAAGGCAGGGGATGTGACTGAACTGCATTAATGACATCCCTTTTGTTTTTTCCAGCCCACGGAGAGATCTGGACATGGAAAGCACAGCACAGAAGGTGTCGCTGGCCCTGAGGGAGCGCTGGCACCATGACACACAGGAGGGCAGGCACGCTTCCCTGGCAGGGGCAGCACTGCAGCCTGGCACGGGGTCAGACCCGAGGGACCGGGGATGCAACGGGGGACAGTGAGCAATCTGGGCAGGGACAGGGGCAGAGTCTGGTTGTTCCCACCCAAACCACCCCCAGCAGGGAGGTGCTGGAGTGGTGCTTTAGCTGGGCAGGGATGAGAGCAGTGCCCTACGGTGAATCAGCCCAATTAGGGACAACGGGCTAAGTCCAACAGGAGTCACAACTAATAAACACACCTGATTGTCAGCAAAACCCTGCATGACAAGAGCTCGAGAGACACCAAAGTCCACCCGGGGCTCAGCATCAGCACTGGGAAGGCCCCGCAGCACCAACCCTTCACCAGCACCAGAACCTGGGGCCCATCCCATCCCACGGGTCATCACCACGGCTGGTCTTTGGGGGCAGCTCATACAGACTCCCCAGATAGTCCCCCACCCCAGGAACACCAAAAACCTGCTTCCCAGGAAGACCATCCTCATCTCTGTTGCAATAACAAACATAGGGGTTTTTTTTGCTGGGTAAATAAAAAGCAGTATTATCTCCCGTGTCTCTTAGGAACTGCTCCAGGCAGGAAAGGTCAGCTATTTCTCAGTTCCTCACCTTTCTACATCGCTTTGTTTGTGCAACCACTGACTCCCACGCGGTGCTTAAGGCTGACATTCCTGAATGAGTAAGTGTCTGTACAATGGGGACCAACCGATGGGATCAGTCCCCCCAGACTGGGAAGGGCTCCACCATCTCTGCTCCACAGCAGAGACCAGACACACTCAGGACACAAATGACCACCAACACCCACAATCGCAGCCCCTAAGAAAAAAATACCTTTTGCCACAGCTTTTTTTGTTATACTTTGGAGCGTGTTAATGCCGGCTGCCCTCAGCCCAGACTTGAGGCAGGGGCTCACCTGCGTGTCGAAACTCACTCCTTTCACTCCCTGTAGCATTTCTCACCCCGTTTTACCGGCCCTGCAGCACAAGGAGGACCCGAAGGGCTCCGGGACACGACGGGCTGCTGGGTTACGAGTCCAAACAGCCCCACGCACCCGCCTGCCCCGGCTCGTCACCCGACGAGGCTGGGAGAGAGAAGTGTTAAGCAGAGAAAAAAAAAAAAAAAAAAATTAAAAAAAAAAAGGAAAAAAAAAAGGGGTCCCTGTAGCATTTCTCACCCCGTTTTACCGGCCCTGCAGCACAAGGAGGACCCGAAGGGCTCCGGGACACGACGGGCTGCTGGGTTACGAGTCCAAACAGCCCCACGCACCCGCCTGCCCCGGCTCGTCACCCGACGAGGCTGGGAGAGAGAAGTGTTAAACAGAAAAAAAAAAAAAAAAAATAATTAAAATAAGAAAGGAAAAGCAACAGGGCGCGGGGGGTGGGGCGATGCTCCCGGGGAGCTGCGTTTAAAACAAAGCAAAGAAAAAAAGAACGAACCAAGAGCGAAACCGCACAGGGCGCCCGGGGGAGGCCGGGGAGACGCGTCGGCGGCTGCTCCCGCTCCCCCGGTTGGAAGGCGACGGCGACGGGTAGGTGCCACCCCCCCATGCCCTGGACACCCCCCGGACGGCCCTCTCTCCCCCCCGAAAACTTTACATCCCCCCAGCCGCCCATCTTACCCGCTGGCCGCCGCTGGGCTCCCTCGCCGTGGGCTCGGCCGGCTCCGGGGCCGCCACCTCGGCGCCCACGGGGGGCTCGGTTCCCGTCCCGCCCCGCTTCTGAAGCTGCTCGTCGGCCACCGGGTCCACGACGAGGAGGCTGACGGTGCCGGCGGCGGCGCGGATGCGCTCCACCACCTGCTGGTGGCTCTCCCGTTCCACGTTCTCCCCGTCCACCTCCAGCAGCCGGTCCCCGGCCCGCAGCCCCGAGCGCTCGGCGGGGGAGCCCGCCTCCACCAGCCGGATGAACTGGCCCGGCTTGCCCTTCTCGCCGTGCAGGTGGAAGCCGTAGCCGTCCGGCCCCCGCTCCAGGCGGCAGAGCCGCGCCGCGCTGGCCCCGCCGCTGCTCATGGCGGGAACGGCGGCTGCGATCCCACTCCCGGTCCCCGCCGCCCGCGCCTCTGCGCCACCGCCCCCCGGCCGCCCCTTTTGTACCCGGGGCGGGGCGCGAGGCGCAAGGCGCCAATCGGAGAGCGGGGCGGGGCGAGGCAGGCCAAATTAGGATGTGTGTTGGGTGTGGCCATGTAAATATGGGAGGGCGTGGTTATGCAAATAAGAAACGGGGCGGGGCGTGTGCAAATCTTGCCTCTCCCCTCCGGCCGTCCCGGGCGCGGGGCCGGGG